ATAGTGTATGGTTAATAAACGCGAGAAAGGAGGGGGGGGGGGGGAGCTTTATAAAGGACATGTTTGTTTTATCATTAATTTTTGACTGCCAGCTCTGTCCTTTGCAACCCTCTTGATGTCCCTCAAAGAAAATACCCAATATTTAACTTCACACCTCACAGAATAATACAAATCTGACAGAACTGGATGAATGTTCCCTTGTGCTATAGAACACAAATGTGAAAATACACGTAGGGAACTTACTGAAGTCAAACACAAAGTCTAAAGGGGATGAATTGCTGTAGGAATATGTTTTGCATTGCATTCTCTTACAGCAAGTTTATTAGAATCTATTATTTTGGTTTTCCAGATAAATACATGTGTCCCAACTTTTTATTCATGAATGCAGTATCCCATAGCAACCAATTGGATTGTATTTTGTACTGGGTGGACATTAGCAGACTGGACTCTGATTGGGTTTGTCTATTTGCTACTGCAATTAACAATGTTTAGAATTCCCCATTAAATAATGCCCATTTTCTCTAGGCCACTTACTTTAGTAAGTTAGAACCTCTGTGAGTATAGCATATAATCCTACATTATTCTACCCTGTCATTTTTCTAAATAGACTCTGCAGCTTTCAAGTATCTATCTATTTATCTATCTATCTATCGATCGATCTATCTTTTTCCCTCCAACTGGAATATTTTAAGATAATACAGTCAAAAGCGACTCCCTTAGCAGATTAAATCCCCAAAATGTACAAAAATTTGCAGTATCTAAAATATAAATATGCATATTTCCTCAACAGACAATTGATTTACTCTCACTTAATAAAATTAAATACAATTATTAAGTAAGACAATTGGAAATAAAGCAAAAGAACTGGTACCTAAGTGGACATTTTCCGGGCGCAGGTTATTCTTGTGGATTGGGGATAAGTACATAAGAAGCAAATAAATCATGAAAGAGAAATAAGATCAGTGCACTCACCAGTAATAACTGTTGACACGTTGGAATAAATCGATTAGGAAAGTGGAACCGAAGTCCAGCCCAGACCGCCAAAGACAATGAACCAAGCCCCCATTTCACAGAATAGAAAGATGTTTTCAACCCTATTATCCCATCCATCCTGAAGGATTAGAAATGCTGTAGGAATATGTTTTGCATTGCATTCTACAGCAAGTTTATTAGAACCTCTTAACCGCCCGGGTTTTATGGGAATCATACAAGAATGAGTGCAGCTCAGCGTTTGGTAGCAGCAAAGTCTTGTTATCTCCCCAAGGATTCTTTCTTAAGTCTGAGCACCTTTTATCCACCCCCTATACGAATGACTGCCAAACATTCAATGAAAAAAAAAAGGAGTAATGAGTGATCCCAATACACAAGTCTGTCTGCCCCGGCCTTTCCTCTCCCCTAAATACAAGGCAGAGGCAGCAGCCAGGGTTACTTGTCTTTGCACTGCCACATGGCACCCACACTTACCAAAGTCCACAAGGGATTGTACAAAGGCGCTGAATAAGGTTGGAAAGGGGATCAGATCATGTTTTAGTGCTAGGAAATAACCTTGCATGGAATAATGGTCTCCAGGATGGATGGATTACACAGAGCTGGGGATATCTCAAGAAGACACATTACCGAGATCGGTTTGTATTATCAAAGCCAATATTCACACACTATACTATAACTTTGCTTTATTTCATACATTTATGCAAACCGCTTGTGCTATCTATAGACATCAAATTATATTTTCCTGTATACATACATACAGTCTGTACAAATAAACCACACTCTTGCAAATGCTATAAGCATGAGAATATTTGTACAGAACTGTCTGCTTAAAAGGCACTGTGCAAAACCAGCCACCTATTCACTAAATACAATTAATTGTGTATATGTACTGTAGAACAGTACATTATTGTAAGCAGAAATTTGGGAATTTACTTATAAATTATTTTGATTCAATTATTAATAAAGAAAACACTTCTTTTATGTTATGATTGTGCACACACACAACACGCACTCACACACATACATATAATTATTTTATTAGACTGCAGGGAGGCCTTTTGTTTCCCAAAGAGGTAAGTTTATTGTTAAAGCGGCATCGTTTCCTTTTTTTGCCAAATATTATAACAATACATTAAAGTTCATTTTTACAACGGGATTGTTCACTGATATGTCAACCAGTTTTACGGAAATCCAACAAATAAATAATTACATGAGTAGATGCACAAGTCCAGCGTTTGCGTT